GTTTCATTCAACCCAAAGAGAATCAATCAAGGAAAATTTGTTGAAAGAGAGTAGTGTCGAGGCCAGGGATAGCGACAGCAGGCTATGCCGTCCTCGTACGTTTTTGTGGGTGTGCATTGCACTAGATGTGGAGATAGTTCACATCCGAGATGCTTCTGTGCCTCTTGTGGCCGTTGCCAGCTTCGGTGGTGGCCTTGCGTTTTTGAGACATTGACTCAAGGGGGCTGCGTGTGGCGTCGCTCATCTGCCTCTTGTGGCGACGGGCGGGTGTTAGGGGGATGGCAGCTGTGTCGAAGCGGTCCGATTTGAGACCCTTGAGTGCGGTGTAATTGTAAGGACCACTGAATGCCAGAGAGTCCTGAGTAGCCTGGTTGCTCAGAATGAGCTGCTGGTTGATTTGGTTACGGCGGAAAGCTCCAACAGTCTCGGAATTGATGTGACCATGCGCCTGTTTCTCGCTGGTAGCTGTGCTGGGCCGTGCAGGCGTGGACGCGGGATCCCAGTTGTCACCCTCTTCATCGCCAGAAGAGTCATTTTCCTCCCAGGCGATAAAGTCGTTGAGGTCCAGATTCAGTTCAGCGTCTTCCTCCTCCTCATCCTGCAAGCTAGGCGCGGTTGAGCTCTCGTCGGCGGTGTTGGGTTCAGAGGGGAAGGGGAAGAAAGCCTCAGCAGGTCCCATCACCTGGGCCGTATTGAAGAAGTCACCAAAGGTGTTGGAGGAGAACATGGCGCTGAGCATTAGGTTTGCGGAGTTGCTCATGATAGGTGACTCGGGCCCCTCAGTACCCCAGGGAAAGTTAAATTGTTCGGGGGAGAGGTCGAGTTGGTGGCGCCGGTGAGGAGTAAAGATCATCATCTTTCCGGTGACGGGGTTGAGGACAGCAATTGGCTTCTTGTCGGAACGGTCAAGGTTGTACCGTCCCAAACGGGGTTGACCACGCTCGGCCTTGACCGGGCTGTCGGCGTCAGAGTCCGAAATGTCGCTCATAGGCTTTGAAGGTCGTCGAGTCTTCTTTCGGACAATGGGTTCGGGTTCATCTTCCTCGGTGGTATCGCCATCAGCTGGGCATGTTAGTACAAGTAATGACGCCCATATAGCCAAAACTTACTCTCGTAGCCATCCAGCTCGGTGGATTCCTCAAAGCCAAAGGGAATGGGCTGAGGGGTAGAGGCAGCAGTGGCTGGCTGGGAGGCCATTGGAGTGGCAATAGGGGTGTCATCGTCAAGTTGTCGGAAGATTTCCTCGGCATCCGAGTCATCATCTTGCTCGCCGTATTGGTTGTTGAAATCCCAGAAAGATCCCGAGTCAGAAGACTCATTAGGATCGTTCTCAATTTCACGGCGGAAAGCAGGATCCAGGTTGTTTTGAGAAACAAAGATATCAGGGAAGAAACCCTGAATCTCATCCTCGGTGTCGGTAGAGTCAGAGTCGCTGGAGGGCACGTCAAAGTGAACGTGGCGCTCTAAAGGCTCCTCACCAAAGATATTGGCGTCTTGGTAGACGTCAGGCTGGTCCTCATCGTCCGTAACGATGCCTCCCCAGCTAGCAGCGTCATCGTCATCAATATCCAGGCCCTCTTGCTCATCATCTTCCTGCTCCACTTCCTCCTCCTCCTCTTCTTCTTCGTCATCCTCCTCAATAGTCGGTTGCGGCCGAGGAGCTTGTGGTGGGGTGGGGGGAACATGAGTTTCTTCTAGGATGTTCTCCTCCTCGGCCGCAGCAACATCGTCCTCATCGTCGTCTGAAGAGTCGCTAATATCTTCAACGGCAGAGTAGCCGCCATCGTCGGAGAGGTCTAGGGAAGAAGCAGAAGGAGTGTCGGAGACCCTGCGGCGGCGCTGGGCGGTCTTGGTCTTTTTGACCGGAGTGGTAAACTTTTGCTTGAGATTGCGAGACATTTTGGAAATGCTTCAAGATGTTTAGTATACTAGTTGTAATGATCGTTTGAGTTGTCTTCAAAGTGATGTAGAGGATCAAGCTCAGATCGAATGTTTTCTAGCAATGCAATGCAAGACTTGTTTTGTAGTAGATATATGCGTGTATACGCTTTCGAACAACTTCAAGTTGTTTTAATCGTCTTTAATAGAAAGAGAAAGGTAGGGAGGTGGTCGGGAAAGTAGAATGGTAGTAACTGTATCAAAGGCCCTTCACTATCGGGCAAGTTGCAGAATCGTTGGCTTCAGAGACAGACTCTCGGTAGAGCATTCAGCTCCAGGAGCGGGAAAGCCTGTAAAGATCAAAGTCGAGAGAGAAGTATTGACTGGTTAACTCGGAGAACTGCTGGACTGCGAGCCGGGACAGGGAAAACAGCCACGGCCCGCAGTGGGCGTTTACAGCTCAGCGACGGCCGAAGGCATGGTTACTCGACTTTGTTCTCGGTAGGGGTAATTCTCTGGGTGATGCTGGAAAATGTCGACTTCGTTGTCTTTTGTGGTTTGGGTTTGGGGTTGATGATAGAGAAAGAAGAGAGGAAGCGAGGGGAGAGGAGGAGAGAAATATCCCAAACTTTTTCCGTCTTCTAAGTGGGGTCGATCCTGATTGGGCAAAGTGTCTCGAGGCAGGCAGTGCCGGGGGGTTGATTGATGATTGAGTTAGAAGTGGAGTCGATGGAGCGTGCAGTGCGGGAGGGAAGGTACCTATGTGCTAGTCTATTTTAGGAGGGACAATACCGTCACCGCTTTTTGCAGCCTCAGACGAAGCCCAACGATAGGAAGACAATTGTACGAGGAGAAGCGCTGATGTGTCGAGTGAGACACTGCAAGGAGACCAATTCTGTGCTGTTTTAATGCTACGTATGCTATATAGAGCTTGCTGCAGTCGATGCTGCAGTTGAGATGTTTGCCTGTCACCGAAACTTGAGAACAAAAGCTGGGACCAAGTTGAATCATGAGTGACTTGACTTCAAACATTTACCCCAGGCTCCCTGGTCCGTGAGGCGAACAAAAATCACAATCAAGGGACCAGTCAGGCCCCAGAATGGAAGCACGACAGGGAGCATGGAGCATCAATCTAATGTACAGTAGGACTCGACTAGGGAGAGATGCAAGAAATTGATATTGGATATCGGAGCAATCTAATCTTGGGAATACGACAGACAGTTGAAAGTGATGTGGCTTTACAGTACCTACAGAGAGCACATTCAGTGGCTGCATCTCACTCCGTAACATGCCACCAAAGCCATATCCCAAACCCAGCGATGTCACGAGAACAACTCAATCGTTTCATTTCCAATGATCTTTCGAGGACACTGGATCCAAGACCCCATGCTTCATGCACGGCAGAACAGACGCTGGAGCCGGGATACGCAAGCAAGAAATCAAAGACCCCTCCTCCGTCTCCCTCCAACAGAAGGCCAAGCATTTTTCCAAAAAGCTCCGCACCGAACAAAGACTCCACAGTCAAACAGGGGCAAAACGCAGGCGGTTATGTCAGTGGCCAATGCCAACTCCCCAAAAAAGTCCAGTTTCACAAAAAAAAGTCCGCCCCAGAAAAAACGAAAAAAAGAGGATTCACATCGGCATCAGACGAGAAACATCGTCAGTCTTCTCGCTTATGCTAGAAATAACGCCAGAAAATGGATACCGATACCTCGGTCCCCGAAAAAGAATAAGAAAAGCTTCTGCTGTATGATGTTGCCACGGACACTGGTGGGGTTATTGCTGAACTTTTTTTTTTCTTCTCTCCGCTGTCTAAAGTTTTAAGCGACAACCGGAGTTGACGAGGACTAATTACTCAGTATCCGCAGTCTCGACGCAGAAACGTCCAATGGAGAAGAAAATTTCTGGTGAGGCAAGCTAAGAGTGTTACGCGCCGTCTCGTGCCTGGATACCGAATTCTGTTGATGGTTACGTAGAAGAATTGACCGACAGTAGATGCTTGCTTCACTTCACTTCCTTCTGGCGGTTAGACATTTAGGCTCAACTCCAGATGCCTGTTAACGACCAATACCTTGAGACACACTGGCCTTTACGTCTTGTCGTCTTCAAAGTCAATGCCATCTGCTGGTCCTTGCAGCTTTTCCCATTGTCAATCCAGTATCAACTTCAATCAGCCCCTCATTCCCCTCTTCTTCTCGAAAAGCACCTCCGTCATCAAAACCCTTTAGCGCCAGACCAATTCTTTAGAGCCACAATCTACTCATAGCGCAACTTCGCCATTGCCCAGTAAACGGCGCCCCTCTTGAGGATCTACCTCAGAGATTTTTACCAATGGCCGCCTCGGCATTACTCGTTACGACAATGAGGGTAACAAAAAAGCGGCACAGTCGAAATTAAGGTGGAAGCTTCTGCAGTATGAACACGTAAATACGTTTGGGATATGGCTATGACTCTTGGGTGAGTCAACCTCCCCCAGGAAATCAGCAGCTCTGGAGATTATGCCATTGGCTGCGTTAGTTACACTCGCACACCCCCTTGTTCATTGATGACTCTTTGCTGCCACGCATCCTAGCTGCCACGAAGCTTCAAACATGCTTCAGACTGGCATGTGAATTGGATCTCAGCTTACTACAGACGCAGAAGAAACACTTCTCGATAAGGCATCTTCCGATTGAGCTCAGCTGGAACGAATAGCAACACAAACTAATCGTGATCGCTTGAACCTTACGATGCACCATTTCAAGTGACACCACTCAGGCAATTGGCTTACATCCTTGTTCTTGAGGCCAGAGCAAACTCAAGCCTGAGGAAAAACTCAGCTCCACTCAACTTTTTTTTCTCGATGGTGTGAAAGCTTCGGCATGGCCCGTGCAACACCCGCGCGCCAAAGCGCTTATCCTATCTAATCTTATCTTATCAACCGCCCCTCCAACCGTTTTCAGCCGTTGTCGTGCCAGCCAGCACGCCAAGGGAAACTGGAGTAAACACTGGACCTCCGACCAGGATTGTAACGTCAACGCTCCGTTTATGAATCCACCGTCCTAAACAAGTCTCGTCCACGATCCATTCTGTTCCTGCATCTTTGTTTAAGCGAAAAGCATATCATCGTGTCTAGCAGCATCATGGAGCGAAAAGCGTCTCATAACCTGTTTGAGGTTTATCTACGGCTACGGCCCCCGCCTACGCGACATGGTGATGGGGATCGCATTCTTGATGTTGAGCCCGCTGAGGATGGTTCACATCCTAAGCATATTGTTCTGAATCCGCCTACAGATCGACGTAGGGCGATTGAGAAGTTCGCGTTCACCCAGGTTTTCGAGGAAGATGCAACCCAGCTCGATGTCTTTCATTGCACAGAGATCGTCCCTTTCGTCGAAGGCGTGCTTGCGCCTGAGGGCGGCGAGGGAACAGACGCTGTCGTCGCTACCTTGGGAGTGACAGGTTCCGGCAAGGTGAGTACCATGTCAACAATGAAACAGGGAGACTAATAGACGAAGACACATACGATCCTCGGAAGCAAGACACAACGCGGCCTGACCCAGCTCACGATGGACGTCCTCTTCCGCTCAATCGGCGAAAACATTCTCGATCCCAACGCCGCCTTCACAGCTCAAGACTCCCTTCAAGCCATCGACGGTGCCGAGTCCTCCCTTACAACCGCGTCCCACTTCTTCGACCCTCCCTTTCGCGACTCAGTTGCTTCACGAGCGCCTTCACGCGCCGGTACACCAATGCTTGTACGACAGCCCCCAAAGCCTTCCTATGTCAACATACCCGCTTCCAAGCTGGTCGCCAACCTCCCAGGCGCGTTCCCAGCAGATTGCGCACCAAGTCCGAAAAGTGTACGGCTTGTTAGCGAAGCAGAGGAAACACGACGTCTCAAAGAGCGATAGGATCGTTCTTCTGAGCGTGGTAGAAGACCTCTCGAAAGTCTGCCTGCGTCTCCCAGCGCGTTGAACTGTCCCAAGACGCCCAAGCGGGGTCTTCGACATTTCATGTCTCTTACTACTTCAACTCGTGTAAAGAATGTTACTAAAGATGATGTCAAGCCCGATGGTGTTATGTCCCCACCACCTCGACGAATTACCGTGCGCCCCTCGGCTCTTCCACAGCTCCCCGACGTGAGCAACATCGACATTTCTTGCGACCCCTCGGCCGAATATGTTGTCATCATCTCGATGTACGAAGTGCACAATGACCGAATCTACGATCTCCTTACTCCCGCTGTCAAGTCCGGCGCCACAAAAGAAGTGCGACGACGTCCTTTACTCTTCAAATCAACAGAGCTATCGCCAGACCGAAAGGTTGTCGCTGGCCTTCGAAAAGTTATCTGTTCCAGTTACAATGAGGCATTGACCGTTATTGAGACCGGTCTGCAAGAGCGACGAGTCACCGGTACTGGCAGCAACAGTGTTTCAAGCCGAAGTCATGGATTCTTTGTCTTTGAAGTCAAAAAGCGAACTCGTAGCAGAAGACCTGGCCCCTGGGAAGGAAACAAATTTACCATTGTTGATCTGGCAGGCAGTGAGCGTGCGCGCGAAGCCAAGACAGCGGGTGCCACTCTTGCAGAGGCTGGTAAGATCAACGAGAGTTTGATGTACCTAGGTCAATGTCTGCAGACACAGAGCGAGGCTGCTATCTCCAGCAAGGTAAGTTATCGAAGTGATGATTGACGGACAGCGACTAACATGTAATAGCCCAACATCGTTCCTTTCAGACAGTGCAAACTCACTGAGCTCCTCTTCTCAAACTCATTCCCCTCATCCTCAGCCTCTCACTCCCAAGCACCTCGCCGCAACCCTCAAAGAGGTGTTATGATCGTCACCGCCGACCCTCGCGGCGACTTCAACGCCACATCTCAGATCCTTCGATACAGCGCCCTTGCTCGTGAAGTCACAGTCCCTCGCGTCCCCTCAATCACAACAACCATCCTCGCCCAACCACCACAAATGGCTCAGAATCGCTCCGTCAGTCCAACACATCCTCATCCACGACCATTCATGCCCGCAGGTGGAGGATCGTATAGAAACTTCTCTCCACCAATGAGCTCAGATGAACGTGCGACGATGGAGATTGCAGCGCTTGAGATCGCGCGTCTTAGTGAGGAAGCGGATCAACTGCGTGAAGAGGTTGATCGTCAAAGTGAAGCACGAGTCGCAGCTGAAGCTCACCTTCTCACCATGGAGGATCGCATGCTTGATCTCGAAGCAGCAATTCGCGAAGAATGCGCCATGGAGTTTGAGCAACGGCTTGCACTCGAAATGGCCCGTTGGAAGAACTCCATGGCCATTGAGCAAGAACGTACCGAAGAGCATTGGGACCGTAAAGTCGAAGTCCTCGAGCGCGGCCTCGCCTCTGACGAAGATTGCGATAAAGAGAACGTTCTTATTGAAGATCTCGAAGAGGAAGTGGATCGCCTCCGTCGCGAAAACGGTATTCTCAAGCGTGAGCTCGCTTCCCGCAGCCCCACTAAGCGCAAGCCCCTTGAGGAGCGGGAGGACTTTGCGCCTTCTTCTAAGTCATCTCGCGGCGATAGCATGGCCAATCTAGGACGCAAGCTTGAGCGTATGCGTGTTAGCGGTGAAAAGGCACGCCCGGTACCAGTCAATGGCAACGGCAGTCCAAAGAAGATGCGAAAGTTGGGGACGAAAAAGTGGGAGCATGAGGATGATGAGCTGGCTTAGTATGTCTAGCTGTGAGCGTGCTACTCAGGGCCATGGGTGGGATAGGACAGGACGGTCGGTCGGTTTGTGTTATAGAACTGGTTCGGATTGGATGGGTCGGACGGATAATGGATGGAGTATACCCTTCGCGTAATGTCGTGCAAGTTCATTCATAGCATCATAATGCAGTTTTCTGTTGTTCGTTTGTTGTACTCCTCAGTTCGTTCCATTGCCTCAACCGGGACTTTCTTCTGTTATGTGACCCTGAATGGTGCCCCCCGATCCTTTTTCATCACCTTAAGCTGTACATATACACTGCCCAGTGAGGCATTCCTACGAACAGCACCCATATCATATGGGTACTGATTGGTGGACCATGTCAAATATCGAGGCACCGTGCACTCCCTAGATATTCTTATCGCCCTCTGCACTGTCCCGACAGTCACCTTTGCTCCTCCTTCTAGCATAAGATGCACGCATTCTGTCACCTGGCTGTTTGCTTCCTCGAGGCTCCTCTCGATAATCGAAATAGCTCCGGCAAGAAGCTCTTCCCATGCTGTCGCTTTGCGGAATCCAATTTGTTTGATCGCTTTATTTGGCTTTGCTCCTTTGTCGAGTAATAGTTTAATCACTGATGCGCTTCTTGGGTTTGTTAGGGGCACAAGCGAAAGAAGGGATGTTCTGAGCAGCTCGGGGTTTCCCTGCAGTGTCCACCCAAGTGCTCCCAGCTTCAAACGTTCCTTACTCGGGTCCCGTTTCGCAATTACGACAACACCTCGCTGGTCTGCCTTGGCTCTTATATATTCCCCAACACAAAACGCAGTGGCCAAGCAGAGGAATTCTTCTCTGGCATCGGAACAGTAACTGTTCAACTCTATCCCAGTCAATTTGCTCTGCCATTTCCCCCCTGGATCCCTGAACTTGTTTTCTTTGTACGAGTATCGGCGGAGACTGGCACACTCCTCCCGTAGATGATCCATCAGTCGAACAACATCGCAACTTAAGGATGGCATCGCATCCCCTGCGTGGTCTAGACTGTCGTTTAAGTGGAGCTGGAAGCGAAGACTCGCGATTCTGTTTTGTGTATCTGGCCTCATCCAGAGCTTTGCCAAGGATGTATATGCCGCTGAGATCCTTATGCCAGAATCGTATGGCTTGGTGAGACAGCTGTCGAGCCTTTGCTGGGTATCAGGCCTCCTTAAAAACTCCGCAAATGTCCTGTGCAGATATACAGCATTACCTCTGTCTGGTTTTTCGGGATACTCATCTGGGGCACTTTGAACTTCTAGTAGCCCTCGGCACCGACTGACGATACGAAGTCGCATATCTTCCAGTCGGCCCAATACTTCCTCAAGTGGGACAGCACTCGGATCTTCATTGATAGCCCGGTCCAAAAACTTAACCTCGTCCGCATACCACAAAACACGCAGCGAAGGCGGCCCGCGACATGCGCTGACCAGCTTGAAGAGCTGAGCAGCATGTTCACGGTATAAAGGATCAATACTCTCAATAATTCTCCCATAGAGGTCATCCATTTCGGATGGAAGCAGGTTGAGCCGATTCTCGAGATCTTCAACACGGTCACCAGCCATCATCCCAGCCAAAAGCGATGCGACAACAATGGTGACCCATAAAAAAACACCACTCGCTTTGTCCGCGATCGAGTGGCTCAGATCACTGGCGAATTGAGGATGTAGTTTTTGGAACCTTGCGAATTGAGAATTTGCCTCGAATCTGGAAACGACGTATTTGGTGATGTCGTCGTATGTGAGGTCTTCCATCTTCAGCCTGGGATAATTTCCGAAAGCATTCTCAAACTCTGTCCAAGGGCGGCTGGAGATGCAGACTTTGATTGGAGATGCGAGGCACTCCTGTAACAAGGATATAAGAGCATTGCAGTCGCCGTCAAACTCATCCAAGCCATCGATAAATAGAGCAAGCTTTGCTCGGGAGCTGATATGTTTCACTGCATGGCGAAACATGTCCTCCAATTCATCTTGGCTCAAGCGCCTGGGGTCTTCATTGAAAAGGCACAAAGATTCCCAACGCGACGAAGCAACAAGTGCAATGACTTCTGGATGCGCGCGAAAAAGCTGAACAAGAAGGGTTCGAAGCAATCCTTCTTTACTCGCCTGTATAGGTCTGTGGGAACAGCAGGAGCTGGCGTTGGAGACCATGAGAGGGAGCATGAACGAAGGAAGCATTCGTCATACAAGGGAAGCGATAAGCCATGGATTTTCCGCCATCATTAAGTCTTCTTGGCCCATTAGCGACTTCCCCTATCTATATCATGTTCAGTTCGACATACCGACGAGGTTTGCAGTCACAAATACAGATCGAGTTGGCGTGCGGGACCTGGCGATCATGGGCGGGAAGCGGGTATACGGGTTTAGAGCGGCTATTAGCACAGGACCCTGAATATTTGACTCGACAACCTTCATAGCGTGGCTAGGGAAGCGGCAATTCAAAGACTGAAGAACACCGCAGGCAAATTCGACATTATGCGCAGAAAGGTTGCGATAATGTTAATTGCATCTTCAGTCTTGCAGTATGCCACGTGATCGGCACTCAGAAACAGGGCGGCCTGGGAAACATAAACAACAGGCAGCCGAAGGATGCTGCTTACAAGGTAAATCCCGTTCTTGAATTGTTAGCGAGCGCTTATAGGCCCAAGAATTACAAAAGGACGACGATAGTAAGCTTGGTTTGCGACACGTTTGGCTGGCGATACGCCTTACAGCTGCCGAGAGTAGCACCGCCTCAATGTGAAACGTAATAGAGGCTACACGTTGTTTCCCACCACTAACCGTGTCCAATGCATTGCAGACCCAACTGCGTTGCACTGTTGCTCTGTTCGCCTATTCTTATGTCTGTTGGTAGCAGTTCTGTAACAGATCAACGGACCCTCGGAGCCGGTGTCAGCCCGTGAACCTCTGCCCGGCCGGGATCCCCGGAGACTAATCCACCATAAAACCACCAGGGTTCAGTATCAGCGCTTAACCTATGTAAGCACACAGACTTCAATACTACGAAGTTAGTAAAGCCAAAAGACAAGATCAAATTACGGCATTGAATACGGTTGCATTATGCACTCGTGTAACGGCCGTACGTAAAGTAAATTCCCAGTCATGCATTTGTAGGTCAGAGCCGTTTGGGTCACCGCACAGTGTTAGTCCAATGCCCAGATGAGGGGCTACCGCTGATGCCTGGCGAAACGTGGAGAAGATTGCTGTCTGCGACACCGTTTGAATATCGTCAGCGCTGCACTGTTGCTTTTCCAACTGAGACCGGACGTTGGTCGCATGACTTGATGATCCATCCCAATTCCGTTCCTCCATCTTTCCTTTTCTTCTCTCAACAACACACAAGCTTCTTTTGATATCGTCGTTTTTCTCTCTCGATCGCGAGGTCTACGAGAAGCGAACAGACTCACAGCATCCCCTGAAAACGCCAAGATCGAACTGTGCGTCGTGAGAGTGGGATACCTGTCGTCATTTTTATAGCGAAGAACCCGCCCTCGAGACAGAGGATCCGCCGCCGTCATTCCTCAGCGCTTGCGCACGGCAGATCAATTCTCACTCCTGTTTCTCTTCCCTTTTTCTCCCTTTGTATCACCACCGTCAAGGGATTAAAATCGCATCGTGTCCCTCCTTGTGCCCCCGGTTATCTCTGCATCTCTTATCGCTTCTGCCTCAAATCTCTCTCGATATGACGTGGGAACTCAACCAGAGGCGGTTCATCCGCTCCATCAATTCGAAGTACATCTACGGTCGCATCGTAAGTCGAAGCTCACTCACCCACGCCCTGTTTTTCCCAACTCTATGATCCGTCGCCACTTTAGCTTCCCCAGTATTTTCCCCAACTACTGTCCAGCTCTATCGTCATCGCTACAAGCTCTTTTTTTTTTTTTTCGCTTGTTCATGATATCACTTTGCGCACTGCTCTACTTTTTCTTTTCTTCTTCTATCACGTTTTTAATCTCCGTGCCCTTTCTTTTTTGTGCTGTTAGGCCTTACTTATGCGACTCGACGCTGACGACATCATCACCAGCCTCTTTTGCATACCATCGTATTCTTAATCGAAATGGCATTCATCGCACGACTTACAGCTCGATTCAACTCGTACTATGACGAGCGACCACGTACGCTACCATAAAGACCTCTCGCCCGATGCGATATAACTGACACCTTTCAGTCATGACCATGATGGTCACCAACGCCATCCTCGGAGGCGTCGCCGACACAGTCGCTCAATCCATTACCGCCATTCGCGAACGAGCTCTTCGTCAGCCGGGCGGTCTTAAGAAGAACGACGGCATCGCTATTGAGATCCACGAGCTCGACCGCAAGAACCCCTTCTACGATCGCGACCTGATCCCCGACTCGGTCGGCCTTCCTCCACCTTTCGATTTTGAACGTCTCACGCGCTTCATGGCATACGGTTTCTGCATGGCTCCCGTGCAATTCAAGTGGTTCCGCTTCCTCGAGCGAGTCTTCCCCGTCACCAAGACCAGCGCTTTCGTCCCCGCCATGAAGCGCGTTGCTTTCGATCAGCTTATCTTTGCGCCATTCGGTTTGGCTGTGTTTTACACCACCATGACTATCGCTGAGGGTGGTGGCCGTCGCGCCGTCTCGAACAAGCTTCGAGATATGTACATTCCAACTCTCAAGGCCAACTATGTTGTTTGGCCTGCTGTGCAGATTGTCAACTTCCGCTTGATGCCTGTTCAGTTCCAACTGGTACGTCATTTTTTTGCGCCCCAGAAAACCATGATCACTAACATGCTTGCAGCCTTTTGTGTCAACAATTGGTATTGCTTGGACAGCATACCTGTCCTTGACAAACTCAGCATCTGACTAAGTTCATTATATGATGCCCGGTGAACGTTTTCAATTGGCCTCGAGCTGATTGATCGATGATGAACATTAAATTGCGTCGACTGTTATTGTCTCAGCCGTCACATAGAAACGGCGTTTGGGGTTTTTTTTACATATACTGCACGATTTGGCATGCTCTGGGACCTACAATGGAGAGTTTGAGACTCTGACCCTTGCGGCAATTACCTTGCACGGCCTTCTTTTATGGGTTGGGTTGGGTTGGGATACGGACCATGTTTAGAATAACAACGTGAGTCTCGTCTGGAGTTTCGGTAGATTTTTAAAATGCCAAGACGAAATGTGTCTTTTTTGTCTTTAACACTTGAGACCCTGTTCAAAGCCGTGTGTGTCGAATCTGAAAGCAGCATTCTATCCAGTTAGGAAACGGGTTGATCGTGGATGAACGTGAATCGGGTGTCCGGGTAATAATCATGATATGACATCGAGTAAGTCTTTTGGATTGTAGGGCTGACGGGTCGGAATTGATCTCGGCCGTTAAGTGACAGCGTGTAGGTTAAATGGAGATTGCAAGGGAACCCAGCAAGGTGTGAAGCGTGGTACGGCCTGTCTTGATATAATTCACCGAGACCATCCAGTGGTCTGAGAAATTGTGGCAATGCTTTTCAAGCTTTGATATATAGATTCAACAGTAATGAGAACGTGTCATATCGAATTTCACTATCAGATCAGCTAATCGATATTATCTCAACATGGGTTTCTTTCAGCTTCTACCCCCGCTAGCTTAGACCTCATATCATGCATGGATGCATCTTGGTGTCGCAATTCATTACATACAACTAACTGTTCAACAAGGTAACTGTACGTAAAAGGCGTGGTTCTCGGCGGTGTAGTTACGGCCCGTGTCTGTCCGGGTCTGCCGCATCCGCATCGCCAGAAGCCGGAGGGCGATGCCCGTAACCCGGCGATGTTGACGGCTGCATAAAGTGCCTGGGCTGAGTGTTTAGGGTAGGCTGCTTAAGAGACGATGAAGTGAAGGGAGTGAGTGAGTGATTTGACAAGTGGACCGACCGAGACGAGACCGATCATGTCATATCATGAATAGAGGAATAGGCAATAGTCCACTGACAAGTCGGCATCTCACGCCAGATTCATGGCTAAAGTGTTTCCTCCAGGGGCATTCACGGGCCTCATCATCCCACCATCTGCGAGTGCAGCCGCGAAAGCCCCGCCAACGCCAGCGGCAGCGTCATCGCGTTGAGAAGATTGACCCCCACCTTGAGCCTAGCAGTGCTATTTACTACCTGACGCTCCCCTCCATAAACTTTCTTCTTCCCTTCTTCTCCTCGACATCACCCTTTGACCTACATCCTCATTCACTTGTACTCCGTATCGAAACCATGTCGCTGTCTAACAAGCTCTCCATCACTGACGTTGACGTCAAGGGCAAGAGAGTCCTCATTCGAGTAAGTTGGCGAGGAAAAAATGCCCCGCGATGGAATGAAGCTGTTGAGCTTGGTTGAGCTCCCCGCATCATATCATCAGATGTCACGAACAATTGATCGAAGGAATTGCACGAGATGTACCTCGATCAATTACTTGACCAGATCTTTATTAAGCTATAGCCATCAAGCTCAACGGTTCAAACGTCTCTCCCAAAAAGCCTCAACAATACCCCGCCATGTCAAACTCTAGCTAACAAAACCCCTCTCAGGTCGACTTCAACGTCCCTCTCGACGCCGACAAGAACATCACCAACAACCAGCGAATTGTCGGTGCCCTCCCCACCATCAAGTACGCCCTCGAGAATGGCGCCAAGTCCGTCATCTTGATGTCCCATCTCGGCCGCCCCAACGGCTCTCCCAACGAGAAGTACTCCCTCAAGCCCATTGTCCCCGAGCTCGAGAAGCTTCTCGGCAAGAAGGTCACCTTCGCCCCCGACTGTGTCGGCCCCGAGGTCGAGGAGATCGTCAACAAGGCTGAGGATGGTGCTGTCATCCTCCTTGAGAACCTCCGATTCCACATTGAGGAGGAGGGCTCTTCCAAGGATAAGGAGGGCAACAAGACCAAGGCCGACAAGGCTCAGGTCGAGGCTTTCCGCAAGGGTCTGACTGCCCTTGGTGACGTCTACATCAGTGAGTCTCTAATCGAACTACAACCCCGCGCTACGTGATGCTAACAAGAACAGACGACGCTTTCGGCACTGCTCACCGTGCTCACTCCTCCATGGTCGGTGTTGACCTCCCCCAGAAGGCCTCCGGTTTCCTCGTCAAGAAGGAGCTCGAGTACTTCGCCAAGGCTCTCGAGGACCCCCAGCGTCCTTTCCTCGCCATCCTCGGTGG